ACTTCAATAGGCATAGTATTTTAATTTTGTGGTTTTACGAAACTGTGTTCTGGCAGTTTATAAATTATATGAGCATATGCAAATTCAACTGGCATGCATTATTCAAGAACAAATAACTGTCCATAAATATGAATGGAGAAAAAAATGAAATATAACCTGTCTCCCTTGCTCTCTAAGATAGTATCGTAAATGTGAAAAAATGGGGAAATACTATTTATTTATTTATTTCCACTAGCAATCCAGTAAACAATAAAAATAAGCATTAACAAACAATTGAGGAAAAATAATTCAGATCTTTGTTTCTGTCTAAAGTAGAACCATAAAGTGTCTTAGTCCATTCTGATTACCATAACAAAATACCACAAACTGGGTGGCTTGGAAACAACATAAATTTATTTCTCACAGTTCTGGAGGCTGGGAAGTTCAAGATCAAATTACTGGCAGAGTCATGGTCTGGTGAGGGCCTGCTCTCTGGTTCACTGATGGCACTGTCTACCTCTGTCCTAATGTGATTGAAGGGGCAAGGAAGCTTTCTGGGGCCCCTTCTGTAATGGCACTGATCCCATTCACAAGGGCTCCACCATCTAACTACTAATTACACCCCCCACAAAGCCCTCACCTCCCAATACCAGCACATTGGTGATTAAATTACAACATATGGATTTTGGAGACATAAAAACACTTAGAATCTAACATGGAGTAAGCAAATTTGTTTCCTAAAAAGATTGAAATAATATGAGCAAGTCACTGATTCCAATCATCTGAAGCCTAAAATGAGAGCAGGAAAGAGACATATTTCCATTATGTAATGACTTGAGAGTTGACTGAAATTGAGTTTCTTTTGTCTAGCACAGCTCCTGGACATTAGAATAGTGCTTTTCACAAGGGCTTTATCACCACTTCCTTGCCCAAGGAATTGTTGATGAGTAGCTTCACTATAGGACTACATCTAGAGGCATTTGACATTTGGTTTCTGCACTCCTCTAACTAGTTTTACAACTTCCAGTTTCCAAGAATTTTCACTTACACGCTTTTGCTCCCTTATAAATATATAGATTATTTTTCTACCTTTTTTTCTCCTGTACTAAGATGAACAGATTCTTAGAATTAGAGAGGGGCATAATCACCTGCTAGAATAAAGCCCAAATCCATTAGCAATTTAAAACAAGTATTTATTCTTCCTTAAAGATAGAGAGAACCTTGTTTTGAGAAAACTGATTCCCATACTAGAAGAGCATATAGTGCTAAAAATCTTCTATACTAGAAGAGCATATAGTGCTAACAATCTATGAGCCTACCCCATTCCCAGCTTATTCTGATCCTTAATCATTATTATAGTCTGACAATATATACAATCCCTCCTATTTATTCACTCTAGACAACAAAACATTGCACTAATGAGATTCACACCTGATCCCTTTACCCAGCCATTTACACACATGCTTATACTTAGACAGATTTTCTTAATGTCAGATAATCTCACACTAGGTATTTCATAGCAACGATGAAGCAAGAAATGACCTTCATATATAAATAAATAAAAATGAACTTGCCTGAATCTTACTCATGGGGCAAAATGGGCACCATTGACCTTTTGCTTTCTTCTTCTGCCCTATCAAATTTGCTGCTTCTTTTTTGTTCTTATAAATGCATAGATGATTGTAACAAATCTAGATTTTAGTATTGCAGTGGTATGCACATTTCGAAGGAGGATAAATGTGAAACTCTAACCTTAACATTTCAAAACTCGACTATTGATAAAAAAAAATTCCAGGAGAATTATTCTTTGGCACCTCTGGAATTAGTCAATGACAATTCTGCTGATAGAGAATTCGATGTGTTAACATTTGAGCTCTGTAATGTGACTATTGCCCAAAAAGAGAAGAGCATCTAGAGGCAGCAAGCACAGGTCCAGAGGAAACGTGAGCTGAAAGAATACACTTGCATGAAATACAGAGAAAAAAGCAGTCTGACAAGAATTTATTATCAGGCCATTTGCTAAAAATTATTCTTAAATAAAAAAATAAGGAAAGAAGAAAATGAAGATGGAAAACAGCAAATATGACAACCATAAAAAAGTAGTTGAAATCATTGGCTATTTTGTTAAGATCAAGCTGTTTTTGGGGGCCTGGGCACGGTGGCTCAAGCCTGTAATCCCAGCACTTTGGGAGGCCGAGGCGGGTGGATCACGAGGTCGAGAGATCGAGACCATCCTGGTCAACATGGTGAAACCCCGTCTCTACTAAAAATACAAAAAATTTAGCTGGGCATGGTGGCACGTGCCTGTAATCCCAGCTACTCAGGAGGCTGAGGCAGGAAAATTGCTTGAACTCAGGAGGCGGAGGTTGCAGTGAGCCGAGATCATGCCATTGCACTCCAGCCTGGGTAACAAGAGCGAAACTCCGTCTCAAAAAAAAAAAAAAAAAAAAAAGATCAAGCTGTTTTTTAAAAATGATGGTTATGAAAACCAGAGAGTAACCTGGGAAAATGGTTAAAAGTTTAAAAGATAGTATTCAAAATTTTATGTATACTATCTAGAAAAGCTATCTCTACAATATATGCGGAATATTTGCTTCATTCCCAACACCTTCAACAGTATCTGACATATTGTAGGTTCTCAATAAATATGTGTTGTGTGAATTTGTTGATGAATTCCTTAAATATTGGAGGAAACTATACAAATTAATGTGATTGTGGTTCTACATTGGGATGTGGAATTATATGTACGTTTATTTAATTTCCTGATTTTCTGAACCCTTTACTCTCTTTTCCCACCTTTCTCTTCATTATATTCTGGCTGATATGCAGTAATATATATTTTGCAGTCCCCTTACACTCAAGTGCATGTCACTATATATTTATAACCTGGAAAAAAGAGATCATTCTAGGAAGAGGGAGACTAGAAATGAACAGATTGCAATTTCTGAAAAACAAAAATTAAGACATAGAGCAGTATATGCTTTGTGTAGCTATAGTCATGTCTATGTCCAGGGACGCTGCATAGCACAGAAATGACTTCTCTCTGTTTTAGTCATGAGCTAGTTTTTCCATTGTACATTTATTCCACGGCTAATAAAACAGAGCCATTCTTCTTGTTTTTTAATGTTCTGCCAATGGACATACTACTAAGAACAATCAGTATGAAATAAATTCTCATATTTTTCGGGTAGAATTAGTCTTTCCCCATGAAGTTTGGTCAAGTCAGGCAAATTAAACCTAGACACTAAAACTTCCATTAGATATGTCACAGCTCAGGCATCCTTGTAGACTCCCTGAGCAGACGGTAGTTACAGAAATCAACAAATAGTAAAACAATATGCATTAGCCTCTGGTTTTAGTCTGTTTTTAGTAGTATGTGAGTTCGGGAGACAGAACTGCACTGTGTTAAAACTCCTAATTGCAGCTTGATACGTAGCTTGATGCATACAATCACAGAGATTTCTGTTTTATAGTTTTTTAGCCATCTATTAATCCAATTTACTTCTAGAAATATATACTTAGGTTTCAACACTTATTAGCTGTTTCTAAATTCTTTTGACTTAAGCTTTCTCAGGTGCCAAATAAAGGTAGTATTTGTAACTGTATGATAGTAGTTAGAATTGAGTTCATATACACGGTGTTTGAAAAGTCATGAAGTTCATATACACAGCGTTTGAAAAGTCATGACATACGATAAGATCTCAGTAAGTCTTAGCTCCTTATGCTTTGGACTAGGCACTAGGGAAGGAATTGAATATGTGATGAAGAAGGTAAGGTCTGGTTTATGGTAGCTTGAAGTCTAGTATGCATCGTTATTGCAAGACAATTTAATGGATCTCTAGCGTTTCTGTGTATCTTGACAATGGAAGTACTGACAGCCTTGTGTTCTATCTCTTCAGGTAAGTTTCAGGTTTGTATAGAAGACAGCCTTAGAAGACAGAGAGTGTCTTCTTTGAGGACAGAGACCAGGCTTGTTTTCTGTCCATTATGAAAACAAGTAATGTCTTCTTCTGGGACAGTGTTTGGGCAGGCTTGCTTGCAGCCTGTTCTAAAAGCCCGAGCTTTCCTAAAGGGGGTATTTCTCCCTTGTAATCTAATGCAACCCTTTGCATGTGCCAGTGTCACTTCACCCTCATCACGTAGGTTTATAAGGATTGGGAGTCAGGCAGCTAATGTAGATGCTGATATTTTGGTTACTGCTATTGATATAAGCGATAAACTGTCCTTTGTTTCTGATTCAGAAGTCTTTTGCCTTCTCTTAGCATCCAAGAAACTAGGATAAACTAACTTGTTAACATACAAGTAGGATAAAAGTCTCAGGTTCTTCACGACGCTTAAAAAATCATTAGGCAGGGCCGGGCGCAGTGGCTCATGTGTATAATCCCAGCATTTTGGGAGGCTGAGGCAGGTGGATCATGAGGTCAAGAGATCGAGACCATCCTGGTCAACATGGTGAAACCCCGTCTCTACTAAAAATACAAAAATTAGCTGGGCATGGTGGCGCGTGCCTGTAGTCCCAGCTACGCAGGAGGCTGAGGCAGGAGAATTGCTTGAACCTAGGAGGTGGAGGTTGTGGTGAGCCCAGATCGTGCCATTGCACTCCAGCCTGGGTAATAAGAGTGAAACTCGGTCTCAAAAAGTAAAAATCATTAGGCAAATATCAGAACTCTTAAACGGTCTACATAAATAAAAAAGCATAAATACGCATATACCCTAATGTATATGTAAAAAATGAGATGGTTGAATATTATAGAAACTTTAATGTACAGTAGGATGTAGGAGTAGCACTATCCTACTAAATTATTAAATTGAACCTAAAACGTCAAAAAATCAGGAGCAAACATAAAAGTCACCTAATAAAAGCAACCATTCAATTTTGAGAGACTATGCTGATTTTGCCTACCAATTTTTCTTCATTGCATGCTAGGATACCTGGCACATTTGTACTCAATGAAAATACATATTTTAAGAAATCTAATAATAAATTTCAGGAAACATTTATTAAGTAAGTGTATTCTTTTTACGGCTCAATACAATAATTTTCATAATAGAATAGGTAATTCTGCCTGGGGAATCCAGTTCATTGCTAAATATCTGTCCCAGGAAATTCTTCCTTACTATATGATTCAAAGTAGGATAATATGCTGTGATAAAATAAAAATCACAAATACTACTGATGGCATTACATAATAAAAATTTTATTTATCCTTCATATCAACATTTGATATGTGTCAAAATGCCTGCCTTCCTCATGGCTTTTCCCTTCAAATTATGTCTCAGGAATTGGGCTTTTCTATAATGTTGCTGTATCCAGAAATAAAATGAAAACGGCAATGTTTTCTCTGCTATACTTAATTTAAAGTAAAGTTAGGTTTCTTAAATTTAATTCACTGATTCTTATTCATTCTGCTCTTGGAACAAGCAATAATAGCAAAAGCTTACTTACTTTTCCCCATAATATGATAGATGTTTAAATATTTATTTCCTCATAGTCTATTTTTTCCTTCTAGGCTAAATAATCATACTAACTAATCATATAATCAGACCTCACAGGAAAGCATCCCCAGACACCTTTCCATTTTGATTCTTTGCCTAAGCCCATCCCTTAAGTTGACAATGACGTTTAGAGAGTAGTACTAAGAATTGAATTCAGTATCTCAGATATTCCCAGACGAACAGATTAGATGAGCTTAAGTTTCCATGATTTAAACCCAAGGAAGTCCAGTGCCTCTAGATTTTCATATTATCTCATGAGAATTATAGGACACCAGAAAGGACATTTTTTAAAAATATGAACCGATGCTTGCCATACCTCATTCCATTTCACCCTGTTACCTCTCCTCCATTTAGGTCATCAGACAGACCCTAGGCAGGCGTTGCCTTAAGGGGAAGTGGCAGCTATGGAAACTGGAAAACAAAACCATGCAGCTCCTGACTTTTAAGCTGTAAATTAAAAGCCACATAAGAATACTCGAAGATCTTGTTTTTCTGGCCTTTGAAGAGATAAGAACTCTTTGAGCTACAAGAAATAGGGAAGAGTTGTAAGGAAAGTGAAAAGTACAGATATTGGTGAAGACATAGGAGAGGGGGCGCCTCTGGCCTGTCCACTCCTCTCCTGTCCCCACCCTTGGAGTTGGATCCTAAAAGGGAAGAGGAGAAATAGAAATCTGTCATAAGTGCAGTTTTAAAGGATGGAATGTCTATGCTTCTGCTCTCTGCCTAGCATGCCAAGAGACAGCAACCTCCCCAGAATGTCACCATGGCAACAGGAAAGAGTGGAGATGGTAATGTGGTCGTCAGGATTCACAACCTGTGGCAACCACAGCATCTCCTCCATACCATGGCCCCATGCATGCAATCCCTTCCACCCACACCAAATATCCTAATCCCATTACAGGCAGGAGGAGAGGGGAAACATCTGAAATGTCTAGTTTAATCTCAAACCATATGTGTATCTAGAAAAATCAAGAAAATCTTAGAGTGACATAGTTTACTTATGCTTGACCAAGTCACCTTTTCTACCTTCATGAAGACTGGGAATTGTATTGGGAAAATGTTGTGTCTTAGAATAATTGGCTGTCAACCCTTCAGCATTTCCAGGACAGGACTTAATAATGTTCTGGCAACTATAAATGCTTGTCTTGGGAATGGAAAAGGTCTCACTATGTCTCAGAGGTGAGGGTGTTAAAATGGATTTGGATACTGAATTTGAACTTAGAAAATCAAAGTTTAAATGACCACCTCTATGTATTTGTCTTTGTGATAGTTTCTCTCTTAGCAACAGTTTATCGTTAAAAACGTGTACATATTCTGAATTTCTCAAAGGCAGAATAAGGATATTACATGAAGTAAGTGCCTGGGAAAGGGTTTCGTATGTTTAATTGCCATACATACATCACAATGAGTCTATTTTCTTAAGGTGGCTATGGTTTAAAAATGAGGCTAGAAGGTAATGTAAGTCAAGTGATGTTACATTTTGATACTGCATATAGAGAGACACTTAAGTCCAGTGAATCTCAAATTTTAGTGTGTGTGGGAATCCCCTGGAGGATCTTATCAAAATGCAGATTTGGATTCAGCAGATTTCGGCTGGAGCCCTGAGATTATTCATTTCTAACTCAGTTAATACCAATCTTGCTGGACCATAGACCACACCTTGAGTAACGACGCTCTAGTTAATGACTAATTTTTGCACATTTCCTGAGCTTGAAGTAATAATTCACATTTAACATTGTGTCTCATGTTGTCCAAGAACAGCTCCCACATTTCTTTATCTCTCCCTTTTGTTCACAGCGAGTTCCTCATATTCTCATCATATCTGAAGTTGATGATGTCATGACCGGATTATCAAATGCTCTGAAATTACTTTTAGGTTTTCTTTTAAAATTGTTGTTATTCACATAGAACATGGTGTGCTCCCAGGGAAAATATAAACAAGCAGTTCAGTCTTTGAGAATTTATAAGACTTAATTCCACAAAGTTGGCAGCAGGCATACCATTATTTCGGTTATTCGCTTTTAAGAAAGAAAACAAAATTTATATTTGGATACTATAAATAAGAAAGCTGTGCAAGGATTATATTAAGGTATTAGGTGCTGTTTTATTTTAGTTGGTTTGTTTACTTTCACACTCCCTGCCCCCTTGAGATTCCAAGAAGGTGGTACATGTAGGGGACAGGTTATTATCACCCACAGTTTTTCCTTCTAGTGAAGACCATTGTTGTCTAGAGTACAGAACATCATGTTAGGCTTCAGAGATGATGTTGTCTGTTCGGTTTCTAAGAACAACTTGTAGACAAGAGACTATGACTTCTTATAATAGAATGGCTAAAATGATCTAGAACTGACAAAATTACATACCAACTTTCTTCAACACCTTCACCTTTGAGAGAGTGTGTACACCAGTCAAGAGCTGAACTGTGGAAACAGATTGCCTGGACGGATAATGTTGAGAAAAGTACTTAATCACTTAGTGCCTCAGTTTCCTAATTTGTATAATGGGGAAAATTATTGTTCTTACCTCAGGAGGCTGTCCTGAGGAATAAATGAGTTAGTAGGTGCAAAGCACTTAGGACCTGCCTACGATGTTGTTGGCATTCTAAAGATTAAATGTTATCATTATTATTACTATTGCTATTATTACTGTTACTTTACTCCTTTATCTTCATCAAGTTTGTGTTATGGTTAGATAATTTCCGGAAGTCTGCCCGTTACTATACCACCAAGATGATCTTGATTTTGCAAGGCCTCAAGATACGAACATATGAAGATAAGCTACTAATATTTATAGTCACTAAAGATGATGCATATCTTCTGAAATAATTGATTTTATATTTTTCAGTTGTACCATAATTGTACTATACTAAAGAAACTGCTGTAGTTAAAATCCTTAGGAAAAAAAAACTCTAAAAGTATTGCCCATCACGTTCAACATTTTGACATTATTCTGTACATAATTTTTTTCAAAAGAGACATCTACTTGAAGACATAGTTTACTCATAAATTAGGTAATTAAGCTAAAACATAATGCAACATATATTTCTTGCATAATGTTCATATAAAAGTTCTTAGCATCTCTGTTCTTCTTATTTGGTGTTGAAAGAAACCAAGCAAGAATATTTGTAGATTAACAATTCCACAATATTCAAAGATCACAGGAATAATTGTTAAATTCAAATTAAATTCAGCAGGTATAAACTTTGTGCCTACTTTTTGTGCTATGTGAGTCATTAAAGAGGTATCTAACTCTGCCTTTTCCCTTAAGAAATTTGTCTTTTCATTAGGGAGACAATTATGATAATGGAATTGATTGGAGCACAATAAAGAGCAATAATAATAATTACATACAATCAAGTCTCCAAATATAAGATGCAGGCAACATAAATTATAACAGTGTAAAGGAAGACAATTTTCAAATGTTAAGATACACCTCCTAAAAGAGGTGCTACTTATAATGGGCTTTGGAAATAGGATTTTGAATACCTTCCAGGAATGAAAATCCACAGGGACAATAATGTTAAGATACCCTCTCCAGTGACCTATTTATACAATGAGAATAAGCTGGGCAGTTGAGATGCAACTAAGTTACTTTTAGGATGTGAAGATACATGCCTACCTCATTTTTGGATCAAACACAAAACCGAAAATCTGGTAACAGCAACAGAGTATAAAAATTTTGTTTTCTTATCGTACATTTTTTTTCATGAAAGTTATTGACCTTCAAAGAGGTTCAAAAAAGGTTTCCTTAAATACAAAGCCTCTTTTGTGCATCTTAAACATGAATTACTTAAAAGATTTGTGACTTTCTCTCAATATTCTCAGCTGACACCTCTCATACAAAGTGAGAGCACATCTCATAGTTTGACTTTGTACTGAGAATTTGTGTGGGAAAGCTTTTCCTCTCTGCTTTCTCTCTTCTGCATGGCACTGACATTGCCTTTGGCTTCATTTCTTCCAAAGTCTTTTTTTCTTTTTCTTTTTTTTTATTTCTTACTTTAAAATATTTAGATCAAAGTATAAAAATAATGTATTAAAAATGAGATATAAATGCAAACCAGGTACTTACGGCCACTGTGATTTATTAGTCCAATTGGTCTTTGACTGTGGCTAGTTAGCCTGGTTGTTAGAACACAGTGCTAATGATATCGAGATCAAGGGTTTAATCCCCCTGGCTTACTTAGCTTTGTTCCATTCCATGGACCCAGAACTGTACTCATACCCAGCCCAAACTTGGTGTGAATGTATTCCTCTTGTCAGAGGCTGACAGAGACAATGTCATTACATTAGCCCAGATTTGTCACTACCCTGAGGAAAACTAGCAAAGAAACAAACAACAAACTCAAGGTATGTGTTGAACTCATGGTCTGTCATTTGTCAAGACAGATAACCCTATTATATAATTAAGTACATATTCTTTGCTAATATTTTGAAAAATAATTACAGTTTTAACAGCACATAGTTAAATGATGAAGTCATGTTATCTGAACATTTGTTAGACTAACCTGTATTTTTAAAATTTCATTTTAATTGACAAATAATAATGCTATACACTTAATGGTGTACAATGTAATGTTGTGATATATTGTAGAACGTAGAATGTGCATATATTGTGGAATGATTAAATAAGGCTAATTAACATATCCATCACCTCACTCTGCTGATAGAGCCTAAATAGTGTGTTGACATCTTTTCATCTCACCTCACTATTTATCATCTTGGATTCTTCTATGTTTAAGTATCTATAAAATATACTAGTAATATAGTATCATACATGTATATTTGCATATATATATGTGTGTGTATGCATTCTAGTGAAATCTTGTAACTACCCAAATTCATGAAAAGTCTTATTATAAAATTATGAAAATAAACTTTTAACAGAAAGAGTGTGCTGACTCTTTCAGGAATATGTGCTAGTGGTAGATGGAGGTGTTAAGAGAGGGTCCTGGCCAACCCTGGGTGGGTTTCCAGTGAATAAAAACCTCATGTGAAGCAGGTGCTACAATTTGCCATGTGTCTCTGCTGAGTCAACCAGAAATAGATAAAGCCTCACTTTTCATTACATAAATCAAACCATGAAGATTGAAAATAGTCCATTATTACTTGTTACAGTTGAAACCCCAGCCTCAGGTCTTTATATGAGGTGTACTCTAACAACCTCATGAGAGTCATTAATAAGAAAAGGGAGTACTTCATTAAGATGTTGTAAACTCATCAGGGAAAAAAAAAAAACAAACACCACCTTGAATTAGAGTATGAATAGAATCTCTTCAAGAAGTATTACCTAAGGATGAGGAAAGGGCACAGGCTCAAACACTAAGAAACTCAGTGTTTAAAGTTTAGGTAGAGGAGGATGTAGCAAAGGAAAGAGGAAGGAACAGCCAACATATAAAGAAACAGATTAAGACAGGAGGATACCATGTAAGGAGGTCAATAGAAGAGAAGGGATGAATTCCCAATGGCAAAATTGATAAAGCATCAATTAGGATGAGGTTTAAACAGTTACCTTTGAATTGAGCAACATGTTAATTATGCTGACCTTAATACATTTTGGGGGATGATGGAGCAGAATAGAGAATAGAAATGTAGAAAGTGGATACAATGGAATTGGAGAGATTTGAGGATGGTGAAGACAGGAAGCAATAGTTGCAAGAGGACACGGGTAGGCACATTTAGGGAAACACAGTAAAGCTGCAGGGACATTGAAGAGGGCAGGTGATCCTGAAGGACAACTGGTTAAAATGATCTTCACGCTTACCTACGAGTTTTGATCTCCTGTTTTTACTTATGGCCCATTGGCACCATTGGTGTCACTCTTTGATTCAGGCAACCAGAGTCCTCCCTGGCCCTGAGCTTTAGAGTACCCCTCACTGGCCCTCTTCCTGTTGTGCCTTTCCCCACAGGAAATTATAGGGCAAAGGGGACTTGCTCACCTAAAATCTCTTCTAGCACCCTCTTCCCCATCATACCATTGTATTCGAGTTATTTTATTGCCATACGAATTATCAGAAACTTAGTGGCTTAAAATAAGGTAAATTTATTTTCTTATGGTTCTGGAAATCAGAAGTACGAAAACAGGGCTCACATGTATCAACAGGGCTGTGTTCTTTCTGGAGACTTTAGGAAAAGCCATTTTCTCGCCTTTCTCGGCTTCTAAAGGCTCCTGCATTCCTTGGCTCATTATTGGATTCCCTTCCATCTTCAAAAGCAGCAACGGTGTGTAGTCTTTTTTCTTTCTTTGCATCACTATGAGAGACTCTTCTCTGTCCCTTGTCTCCCTCATATGAGGAGGCCCACCTCATAATTATTTCATTGGGCCCACCAGAGAATCAGGCTTATCTTCTTAAAACCCACGAATTAGCAAGCCTTAATTCCATCTGCAATCTTAACTCCCCTTTTCTAAGTAACAGAACACATTCAAGAGTTCCAGGAATTAGAATGTGGACATCTTTGGGGAGGGGCATAATTCTGCCTGGAACAATTATGTTTCTTTAGTCACGACCTGACAATTTCCGGCACAGATGACGCAGGCCCATTTCCTCAGAGCCGTGGTTCCTAGAGCCGGCTGCATTATCAATGGGCTCAGCTTAGGGTGAAGGGCTGGTCAAAACTCAGCTGTTTGGTAGCTGCGGGCAGGTAGGGAAGAGATTTAAATACACAGGTTGAGATATTGACATGCATGTACTGCAGGTCCTGGGGGGTTTCCTTACATTGGGACCTCAGGTTAAAGGCAGGCATGGCTGTCATCACTCAAAAAATAAACTGCCTCTACTGTTTTACCCTATCTTTTCCAAAAATCTATTAGGAAAATCCACTTCCAGGTATCCCTCCAAATAAAACTACTTTAGTGGGCCCACCTCACTAAATTCCACCTGGATAATTTGGAAACAAACATTTTGAGAAATCTATTGGTGGGGGGAGGGGGAAATGTAGTGACTGAAGACCCATGATTCAGAAGAGTTGGGAATGTTTAAGTTCATTCAGGTCAGGTTCCACATCAGAATTGAACCAGAAAAGTGTGAAAGGAGAAAACACAGAAGGATAAACTTTGAGGAACTTCAGCTCAAAACTACATAGAACTAAATTCCATCCCCTTGCTGCTTTTCCAAGTAATTGTGACACCCTTACATAGTAGAGATGACAAGGAGTACACCAGCGGTCAGATCACATTCCCGGATCTGAGTGACTCACTCTTGCTGAATGGAATTGACCTGCATCCCCACCCCATGTACACAATCCTCTTCTGCAACTCCAACTTGACTCAAGGATAATCTGATCAAAAACGTGCTTCTTTTGTGTTTGTATAGATCTGCATGAGTAAACATCTAGGAATATGTGCACGTGTATAATGTATGTATGCCTATCCATACGCATATGTATTTGTTTGTATGTATGCCTATCCATATGCATATGTATTTGTTTATATATCCTTACTGCTGGGTTAAGAAAAGAGAACTCAATCAAGAGTCAAGAGAAATGGGACTTTGGTTGTACTTCTGCCACTAGTTCCCAAGAAGACATCAATCAGACTACATAGTTACTTATTCATGAAAGAGGATGTTTTAAACTAGATGATCCTTTCCATTATTTTCCATTCTAAAACCCTAAATAGCTACCTAGGGAAAGTCAGGTACATTTACTTTCCAACTAGAACTCAAATGTAGATTTCGTTAACATGAATTATTTGAATTTTTATTAATGGCCTCACCAAGACTGCAGCCTTTGACAAGCTATTTTCTCTCTGTGTCCATTTTTCTAGATTCTAAGCCTAGGTAGAATAAATCTTTACTCTCTTATTTTCCTCCATGAGTACAATACAGAAACAAAGAGAGAGATCAAAAAAGAGACTGCATTGTGGGAAGATTTTGCCAAACACCTACAGACTTTCATGTCTATGACTTATTAGTACCAACGGACTTTTCTTTTTATGGAATAAATATTTGCAACACCCTAGAGGCCATGGGTGGCCTGGAAGATGCAGCAATGAGGGGTATGGACATGTTGAACCATGCTCCGGCTTTATTTTATCATTCAGAAAATGTATATAGAATATTTTCTAAGTGTTAGATATAGAGATGAACAAGATATAAATAACCTCTGCCAAAGGCTAGCTAAAGAGACAGATACTGAACTCATAATTGCACAAAAAATAATCAACTACAGGTGTAAGTTATTTGAAAAAAAGTTGGAGCAATTAAACGTTTTGAACAGGGGTTCTGGTATTGAGAAGTGGCCGTCCTCACACACTTGCTCTGTGGCCTAATTCAGTCACTTTATATTCTATTTATATTCTATCTTTTTTAATATCATAAGTATTTTCTCAATCTAACATACAGTAGAAAGCTGAAAACAGAGTTTGAAATGTTATTCTGCTTTGTAGCCTTCACTGATTTCATGTGTTCAGATCCCCCTATAAATTCGTAAGCTTTTCTAATAATTTTTGCTTCTCCTCCTATTATACTTTACTTATTCAGAGAATGTTTATTAAGCCAGGCATGTGATTTAAATTTAGAGATAAAAGTCACAGCCTCTCCTCTCAAGCAGCCCTGGTCATATTGGGGTGACATGAAAATAAGCAACTGCAAGTCAGGTAGTTATTATTAGTATGATGCGAGCAGTATTCATAAAAGCACAGGAGCTGATGAAAATAGGGGCATTAAAGCTGATCCTCAGTGGTTGTTTTGGAAGACAATTACCTGAAGAGCAAGAAGGAGTTAACAAGTGAAGAAGGTGGGGGTTGTGTTGGTGCAGGCATCCCGCACATATGTAAAATGACATGCTGGTAGAAAGTACCACAGCTTCTTTGCAGAATGCAGATCTCCATTGAGATAACTGGTAAACATTCGCAGGGAGTAGTGACATAGGCAGGGGCCAGAATCTGAAGGTTTAAATTGCTGTTTCTACAGACTGTGGGATGTGACTGTGAAATTTTATAAAAGAAGAATGAGTCATCATTGCACAGCTGGATTTGCAGTGGCTGGGACATTAAAGAGTAGTAGTAAAAACTATGAAGAATGGGGAGAAGGTCGACCTTGGGGCCTGGAAATCACTAGGGGTCTCTTGCAGGAGTCTGAATGAGAGACGACCAGTGAGAAGGAGTCAGTAGAAATGCAAAATTTGGGGCCAGCTTGACTCCAAGACCAGGTCTGGGGACTGTGAGGAGAGAGGAGTGCCGGAAGATTCCCACACTTCCAGCTGAGGCAACTTGCAGGGGGAGAGTTTCAGTAGAGATGAAGATTGAAAAAGAGGATCGAACTGGGGACATGAGATGATCAGTGCTATTGGGATCGAGGTCCTGATGTGACACCTATGTGGAGCGACCTAGAAAGAACTGAATAGACAAGTCTGAAACATAGGAAAGGGGTCTGATCAAAGGATGTCAATTTGGGAAAAGATGATAATAAACATTTAAAGTAAATCATGAAACATATTATTGCTAGAAATACTCTTGCACTACAAAGAGCACAATTTAAAGTACAAACTGTGCAAGCCCTTAGTAAATATGCTTTTAATTTTCAGTGGATAAAATAATGAGTGAATAGGAACTGTTATGGTGTAGTAAAAAGTTCCTATCTATTTTTTTTTTTTTTTTTGAGACAGAAACTCACTCTGTCACCCTGGCTGGAGTACAGTAGCTCAATCTTGGCTCACTGCAATCTTCACCTCATGGCTTCAAGCAATTCTCCTGCCTCAGCCTCCCAAGTAGCTGGGACTACAGGCTTACACCACCACGCCCTGCTAATTGTTTGTATTTTTAGTAGAGACGGAGTTTCACCATGTTAGCCAGGATAGTCTCGATCTCCTGACCTCATGATCCACCTGCCTTGTGTATCCCAAAGTGCTGGGATTACAGGTGTGAGCCACCACACCCGGTATCCTATCTAATTTTTATAGTGTGAATGTGTGTATGTGCATGTGTGTATATACATGTGTATGTAACTGTGTAGTTAGACATACATACAGACACTTACATAAACATTAACAATATGAGAACTGTATATCTATATTAGTCTTCCAGGGCAGCCATAAATACCACCAACTAGGTGGTGCCCCCCAAAATTAATTTTTTCATAGAAGGCTAGAAGCACAAGATAAGGTGGGCTCAGTGTTGGTTTCAAGGTGAGACCTTTCTTCCTGGCTTGTAGGCAGCTGTCTTCTTAATAGGACTTCAGATGATGTGAGCAAAGAGAGACGGAATGGGGTTTGACAGATAGATAGAGATCTCTGATGTGTTTTTTTCTTCTTATGAGGGCCCTAGTCCTATTAGATTAGGGCTCTGCCTTTAAAATCTCATTTAAACTTAAAACCTCCTTATATGTCCTATTTTCAAATACAGCTGTAATATAAGTTAGGGCTTCAGTATATAAATTTTTGGAAAGACATAAATCAAGCTACTAAACACTAGTACATTTGACTTCCAAACTGACTTCTTCTCTGAGAAAGGATAGCCTGTGAAAACGACAGATTGCTTTGAGTCATAAAAGAGGATGCGTACGTATAAGGAGAGACAGGTTTGCTGAATCTCAGAGCTAGAGTTGCTCATTTATAAAATGAGGCCCAGTACAGCCTCACGCCTGTTATTCTAACACTTTGGGAGATAGAGGCAGGAGGATCACTTGAGGTCAGGAGTTGGAGACTGGAATAGGCAACATAGCAAGACCCCTTCTCTACAAGAATTTTTTTTTTTTTTTAATTACCTGGGCGTGGTAACACAGGCCTGTAGTCCCAGCTACTCCAAAAGGTGAGATGAGAGGCTCTCTGCAGCATAGGGTGGCAGCTGCCATGAGCTGTGCTCATGCCACTGCACTCCAGCCTGGGTGACAGAGGGAGACCCTGTCTCAGAATAAATTTTAAGAAGTGAGCATAATTCTTTCTGATGATTATGTCAGGATACAAGTATATTCTCACATATTTAGTTTTCCTCATTTGGGGGAGGGTTAGAGCCACTTGCAAATGGATAAATCTTTAGTAGCTGAATGGGCTTAATCAATTAATCTCTATTGCTCTATGAAAACCAGATCGCAAAAGCCAGAAATGGTGGACGTCCCACAGGAGTGTCATATCATGAAGATGGAAACTTAAAGCAGAGATTGCTTGTGGAAAACGGCGCTACGTTCTTGGCATGCGCGCACTTGCAGTGATCTCAACTTTCACTTATGATTATTTTTAATGTAGGAGCTAATCCCCGTGTATTCTGCGCCTGCCCTGTTTTGTCCCTTTGTACACTTGGCTTTCGTTTGG